GCTTCTAGACTGACATAACAGATAGGCATTAATTTCGAACCCCACTAGCATAATCGCACCCTCGTGCGCGGACAGGCATGGGTTTTTAATAAGAAGGTAAAGCAAGAGATGGAATGGACGATTCTAAACAAGGTGTAAACACGGAAGGTAAAGATTGGTCCAATCCTGACCTAAGGCTAAAATTGGCATGGCGGGAGTCTGCCTAGAGTTTTGCGTCCCGCCTACGGCCTGCTTGTCTGCCCATTCTTCAATCTTTTCTTTTCCGATATTGCGCATATGCGACGCGAACCTCTGCTAGCGCCTAGTTCATCCCAATGGCTCGGCCTGTCCCGATTGAAGCAGACTATGCAAGATTTGTGATAGAAGCTAGAAAGCCAATCTTCAAACAAATTGTAGACGTTTACAAACTAGAAACCGTAGCAAATGATAGAAAACATGCGTTTAAAGTCCTACTTGCGAAGATAACCGCGGCTTTGTTGCCGCTAGTCTGTCGCAGGCGGCCTGTGGATTGATACACACATGTAATGATGCGCCCGCGGTGGTTAGCTCGCATGCGATGCGCCTCACAGGGCTTATAAGCTGCAGTGTCGGGTATACCAGCATCTCCCATTCCGCGCGGCAGCTTCGCGCCTTTTATTCTGCATCTTTTTCATGAACATGCTCTCTGATCACTTTCCCCGTGAGCGTGGGAAAGGCGAATCCTCAATCGATTGAAAATGATTGGAGAGCATGTTCGCGGAAGAGGTGCAGAGTCCTGCGCGGGAGTGGAGGTGCTGGTGCACCCGATACTGCAATTGAAAAGCCCTATATGAAGGGCTACCCATCTATCTTATATATACTGTATACTTTTCGTCATCGATCGGTATCTTTTATCAATTTTTCGCGAACTTTAAGCTACGAGGCTGGGAGTGAGATAAGTAGGCATGAGGTTTACGGATAAATTAAATGTCGGTGATAGTGCCCATTATTTTCATTGATTTCATCTATTCTTACAAATTTGAGCTAGGGAAAGCTGGGAATTGGGTCAGGAAGTGAATGATCACGCTGATTTTTTGATGATTGGAAAACATGATTTCCATTTCCTCAACGCTTTCTCAACGTACTGGCTTTTGCTCTTTTTGTCGGGAGCTGCAAAAAATTCCGTATTTTAGGGCGTTTTCTGGATTTTCGGATGAATATCGTGGTGAAGTCACAAAGAGGTAGGGCCAAAGATACACAAATGGCACTGGTGGGATGGATGTTAAAAGATAGCCTCAAGCGTCTATTGACTCGGAGTACCAAGTCTGTGTAACGAGATTTTTGAATTTCTAGCTATTTGAATATAGGAGAGATTCGAAATGTACGCCGCGCGTTTGAGGAGTCTTCGACAGGATGCCATTATTGTTCAGTTTCGTCTGAGAATGGACGCGAAGAACGACGCTTATCAATGACCTCAGTGAAAGAGGACATCACCAATTTTTCGGTTGGAGCATCTACCCACGTACTTCGTCAGGCAAGCCGCTGCCGGTTTTTAATAATAAAAACTTGGAGAGGCGACCTACCCGCTACCAGCAATGGCGGCGCGGGCACCGTCGTTTTCAATATACAAGACTATTACCTCCTGCTGGAACGATAGAGCACCTTACTCAGTCGGAAAAGATGCTGGACTGTTCTATATGAACGCTAACTGGATAACGTACCAGATGGCGAATCTAAGTGACAGTGGCGGGGATAATGGCATGTCTGTCAACAGAAGGCGATTTTTCAAATGAAGATCGCCTCAATCGCGACAAACGCCCCAAAAAAGTAGAAAGAGATCAGGAAGTGCCGAAGCAACAGGCGGAACGCCCCTTATGGTTCCCAAAACGCAGTGATTTCAAGTGAAGGTAATTTCTTCGCCGATGTCTGCATTTTCACATATAGACCTCGACCAAAACCGAATGCAAAATCGAAATCGACCGAACAGCTAAATGAAGAGGAAAATGCATTTGCGCATAAAGGTGAACCTTGGGTCGAAAATGGGTTCCTTAGCGTTACAGTTCTATGTCTGGTCCACCGCTGAAATCATCAACGTCGAGGCAGACACGCCGAAACTAATAGTGCTGCCACTGCAAAGGAGAACGATGGAGGCTGTCACAACAGAGTCCGCACATCATATCGGAAGTAATAAGAGGGGAGTAGCGAAGGCGAAGGACAAGGAAGTCGATCCAAAACAAAAACCAGGAGATCCTCGGGTATCGATGGATGCTGAAAATTTCAATATAGTCATGTGATTACATTCAAGTTGAATAACGCTTTTGTTTTTTTGGATTTTTGTACTCGATGCTCTATATTTGAGTAGTATATGCTGACATCGACATTGCTGAAAGATGAGCTGCTCATTCAGTCTTCGAGCTTCCCCTGGATATTGCCTATTCGGAGCAACCTGTACGCCATAAGCAAGGACAAAGACAATTTCGTTGGGACCAGTGCACCATGGTCCCTAGAAGCCCTTGACTCCAAAGAACGTAAGAGGGAACAGGCGAAGGGATGGGGGCGTTGTGCTATTGACAGGCGACTTTAATTCCGCAGTCGACTCCAGCAGATGAGCTGAACGTTTGCCTCAAAGCTTCTCATC